CTGGATGTTTTTTTTTAAATTGTAGGAAAAAAAAAAGATTTTCCAAAATTATTCGTTTGTTGATATTTAACATTTGATATAATGAAGAAAAATTCCAGACATTACACCTAGACGGTCAAAGGTTATTTTCTTACATATTTAACCATGGATATGTTCTTTTTTAATTTTAGAAAAAAAAAAGATTTTTCAAAATTATTCGTTTGTCGATATTTAACGTTGGATATAATGAAGAAAAATTCCAGACATTAGATCTAGACGGTCAAAGGTTATTTTCTTTTATATTTAACCGTGGATGTTTTTTTTTTAATTTTAGAAAAAAAAAAGTTTATTCAGAACTTTTATTTTGACGATATTCAACAGTGCATATGATAGAGGAAAATTCCAGACATAACATCTAGACGGTCAAAGGTTATTTAATTAAATATTCAACCCTGGATTTGTTTTTTTTTTAGAAAAAGAATGATTCAAAAATGTTGTTTTCAACCAATTTAACACTGGATATCATGAAGTCAAATTCCAGACATCCACATCTACCATTCAACATATAGAAAACGAATTTCATAGTGTTCGAGCACTTGGTTTTATTTAAACATTTCAACGTTTCGTTTAATATGAACATCACAATTGATTTTCTTGGATGAAGGCTAAGTGAAAATATTTGCGGTTTGTGTAAATGCAAAGTAAAAAAAAACTTGTTTTCTGTCCATTCTAATAGTTTCTTTTCGTTGAGTCACTTTCTAGTTCTACTTTAGATTAGTGAATATATTTTTGTTTGAACATCACTTCCCTACTGGAACATATTTTCTTTTATTCTAGATAAAAATATTTTAAGAATGAAGTCAAATTCAAATATCAATTTAGAAACGTCGAAAACCCCTAGTCAAGATGCACAAGGTCGATGGTATGAATTATTATCACCAACACAAGTGCTGACAGGGCAAAATTTAGCAACAACAGCAACTGTAGCAGCAGCAACTACTACAACAACGCTTGCATTGAACAGCAAGAAGAAGAAATCACGTAATCGAAAATTACAACGTTATTCACGAAAACTACGTAAACAAGGTGTCGACAAAGCAACTATTGAAATGTATAAACGTTCAAATGGTTTGCGACAAAAACATCAAGCACAAGATATGGAAACCGAAGAAATCATTCCACTGAATGACACGGAAGTAAGAAACGATCGATTCAGGCATTCATGTGTCTCTAATACACTTTAAAAAAATTTAATACTATTTTTTTGTCTTTTAGGACCAGACTACCCAAGGCCCAGATAATCGTGAACAACAAGTGAAGAAACGAAAACGTGATGATTCAAAGAAACAAAATGAAGAACAGCAAGATTCCAATTGCATCAGCAAATCTTTAAGTCAATTGTCAATGAAAGAAAACACAAACAAAAAGAAAAAAAGATCATCATCATCGTCGAAGATACACGAACAGCAGCAACAGGAACCGGAAGAAAATGAAATAAATGCAATTCAATGTAATGATAATAAAGAACGAAAATCTTTACATTATTATTTAAATGCCAACAATAATAATTTGAAGAAAATGTTAAAAACAGCTATTGTTGGTCGTAAAGATATTTTACAATGGTGTAAATTAGAAGAAAATATCGATTATGTTCGCGAACATACTCGTTTGATAGATAGGGTATGTTATCTTAAATTAGAAGAAGATCTTTGGAAAAGTTATAAAAGTTATGGTGAAGCATTCCATTGCTGGACATCACCATTACCACAAGCTGTCATTAAAGATAATAAATTAGAGTTCGATTATAAGATATCGAAAAAGTCGATGGAAAAATATATCGAAAAAATTAAAGAAAAAATACTAAAAGCTGAAGAACAAGTACAAGAACATGCTTTGTTATTGAAAAACTATCCACCATCAACTTCGAATCAAGACGAACAACGTTTATGGGCCGCTATATTAGCTTTAGTACGTAAAGGTCAACAAAAATTATCTCAACATTATGAGCATAGAAAAAAACGTTTGAAAAATGTTGCCAAAGATTATTCTTTTATAAAAGCATGTTATGATTGTCAACCAACACAAGATGAAATTATATCTATGCAAATTATTTGGCAAGCAACAAATAATGAAGGCAAATCACAAGAAAATGTCGATATCTTAAAACAACATCTGTTCCTCAAACGAATACCAAAATCATTAAATTATCTTGATGAATCATTTTCAAAAGTAGAACATATGTTACGAAGGCCGATTTTCGATGATAATATAAGGACAACATTATCCACACGTCATAAGAAAATTATTGCACAAAATAAATGTGATTTATTAAAACTTTACATTAGTATGGCTGAAGCAAGTGTTCGTGGTTTTCATGAATATGCTGAAAAAGAAAAAAAGAACTTAATTAGTCGTATGCAAAAAAATCCACATCGACACATGGTCATTGAACAACTTAATTCAGCTATTGAACAACGTCAAGATCATATACGACAATGTATGGAATACTTAACCCAACATCGTCTTCGTTTTTTCTATCATCGCTCCGACGATCGTCGCCAAAAATGGTATCGTCGGAGCTATCATCTTAATTTACATTTCGATATTCTTCCATCATCTCCTATTATTGAAGTATATACAAAATTAACTGTGGAGCAATTGGCATTACTTGCTCGTGGACCAAAATATGTACCACCATGTCAAAGTCGATTTTACAAGAAAGAAAAAAGAATGAAACTCATAGATCAAGAACATAAAAATATAATGAACACAATTACAGAATTTTTTCGAAAATATAATTATTGTATTTCAGACAAACGTGTCAAAGAATTTTCTTTTAATCTTAAAAATCTTATTCAACATCTTTACACGAAAAAATTATCAAGAAAATTATCTGTGCGTGCTAAACGTGAACATAAATTAATTATGACTATTCGGCGATACTTACGAAACTATCGACAAGTAATTTTACGACGAACAGATAAAAGTAAAGTATTTCATCTTGGTAATGCTAAAGAATATCAAAGAAAAGTTATTGAATATATGCAAGAAACACAGGCATATGAAGAAATTACTTCCAATGTTTCACCATTAGCAGCTAACTTACAACAAGTTATTTCATTACTTGATCATCTTCATCGTGCTGAAAAACCACTCATTACGAAAAAGCAATATGACAAAATGCGTCCAAAAGTAAGTGATACTGAATTAGGTCATCTATATTTTTTACCAAAACCTCATAAAGTAAGTTTTTTTTATGAAACAATATCTTTATGATTCAAATCGTTTTCTTTTTTTTTAGATCGGTACACCATTACGACCCATTGTTGCTGCAATTCATGCACCAACTATATTAGTATCAAAATTTCTAGATGATTTACTTCGTCCTATATTTAATCGTGTGGCCCATCATACAATCTATATCGATAGTATAGATCTTGTAAAACGATTAGAAAACTATGAAAAACAAGGTCATCGATTATCCACTACTAAATTTATTACAGCCGATGTGAAAAATCTATACACAATGATACCAAAAGGTGGTGCACTAGATGCATTATATCGATTTATTATTAAATATGGTAAAGATCGGCAAATTGGTAACTTAACTGTTAATACAATTATACGATTAGCATGCGTTGTATTAGATACCAATTGTTTTGTGTACGGTGATAAATATTATAAGCAAGTTCGAGGTGGTGCTATGGGATCACCCTTTACAATGACATTAGCTAACATCTATATGTATGAATGGGAACAAACTTTAATTCAATACCAACAACAACGCAATGAACTCTATGGGCGGTAATTGTTCATTTAAAGGGAAACATACTTTATTTATATTTATCATTTTTTTTTCTATTTAGATATATCGATGATATATTTATGACTTCAAACGAATCTTTGGACAATATTAAAACTTTACTTGATCGAGAAAATGCAAAAGATCCAAATATTATAATTAGTTATAACATTAATGAATCAGTAGAATTTCTTGATGTTCTAGTTGAAAACATTCAAGGTCAATTAAAAACATCTGTTTTTCGAAAACCAGCTGCTGAACCATATATTCTACCTTATATGTCTGATCATCCACGCTATATTCATTGCAATACAATTCATACTGCATTACTTCGTGGCATTCGTGTATGCTCAGACATAGAAACATTTGATCAAGAACGATTAAATATTGAAATAGCATTATTATTAAATGGATATCCACCAAAGTTTATTAAACAAAATTTTAAAAAATTTTTTACAACTTATAATGCGTCGTCCATCTTACAAGATCTAAATAGTGAAACCTATAAAACACTTCATCATCGATTACTCAACGAATCCACTGCTGATGTAAAACAACAACAACAACAAGAGCAACAACATGAGGAAGATAATAATCATCAAAACTTAGAACGTAAACTTCCTAAACCAAAAAAAATTATTATACACTACCAATACGAAAGCGGACCATTAAAATTATTTAACATTCAATTTCGTAAACTTTGGAAGAAACACTTCTTTTATGAAATGTCACCATTAACCAAAGTTCGACTAATCATTGGAACACGAACAAACAAAACATTGGAACATTTACTGGTAGATAAGAAACCAAATCGACGTCTCTTAAAATACGTCGACAACAGCACAACATCAGCAGCAATGGAAACATAAACATATCCTTGTATTGTTCATTCTGTTTTTTTTTCTTTTTCTTTTCAATGTACATTATTAAAGAAGTTCAGGAAAATATATTCCTAACTTGCCCACTTTATTGTGAAATAGACTGTTAGTTTACTAAAATTCATCGAAATGATTGTATTCTTTCAGTATTTTAGATTATTTCAATCAACAGATTACTTCTTCCGACGATGCACCTACACTTATCAAAAAAAAAACATTACACAATATTCAACCCAAACCGTATTTATTACAAGCATCAACAAACACCAAAGATAGCTGTTCGAGCAACGTGTTCAGACATATAAACTTCAATGTGAAAAGATCCAAGGGACCATGAATGAACATATGAAACAAGCACCAGTTAATATTAATTTACAAAATATGACAACCATCATCGACAATTTAATCCAAAATGTAAATATGAATTACAACTTGAACTTAACCGAAGAAACACAATGCTTCGATTAGATGCTGAAGAATGTAAACTCATTGAACAATTTTATGAAATGAAGCCAAGACCAACCGAAGTAAGTTTACTCATCTTGTACTTATATTTGCAAAATGTCTCCAAGTTTAGATCAAGTCTGCTAAAGTTATCTTCAAAGCGATCAATGAACAAAAAAATATAATTCATGAAATTGCTACCTTTAAGAAATGGCTTCAAGTTCACACACAAGCACCATCCTAAACACTTCAAGATGTTCAGTTACCAAAAATATACCATATATTCATATCACTCTCGTTTCAATATCAAACATCACCAGCAGAACATATTACCGAAGAAACAATTATGAAAGCTGAAGAACTCGTAGAGTCCTACAGTAAAATAATAAACAACGAAAAACATAAGCCACAATGTACAAGACCTCAACATAAAAATATTCAACAACTCGATCAAATCATCAATATCAACAACCAACGTGATCAAAATTCGAAACAACGTCGTAATTTTGGGCTATTAGGAAAATTCTCTACTTTTTTTTGTTAAATAACTAGTGAAAGATGTTACCCTATATGACACATAGATTATTTTTGATATTAGAGGCATCGATTTTGTGAACCAGACAGAATCGAATTGTCTTTTCATGTTTTTTTTTCGTTCTAGATTTATTATCTATATTTACCATATTCAACTAAACAATATATATACTGCTTCATTTATCTTCAATGGCTAACCAAATCATTGACACAACTGAAACAACAAGCATCTCATCTGATGACGAATTTGAAAAAGGAATTCTTTATTCGTCACCTGAATATAAAGACGAAGACTATTGTATGATCGAAAATGATTGGTCTTCATCTGATGATGATAGTGATAATGATACAGATGACAAAGAAATAACTTATCATCATAAAGAAACGTCAGATGAGAAGAAGATTCATTGGAATGATGGCCCTTATCTCACTCATGATGTATATAAACAATATATGACCCGATTCGAACGTCGACAAGCATGTTACTTCCAAGAGCAACTCCAAGAAGTTCGACAACAATTAAGAAATGATAATCTTATTTTACGACCCATTTATAAAGATATAGGATATCATATGGAACCTGTTAACACTTTTCATCACAAAGTCAATCAATTCATAAAACAAACAAAGAGCTATTCATTCGTTTTTACACTCAGTCGTTCATATCCAACTGCTAGCCAAAATCATTTAGCTAAAATGGTTGAACGAATTGAAACAAAATTGAACAATTTATTAAGTTCTAAATCTATTAATGAAACACAATATATGGCTATGAAGATTGATCGATCTACAGTACGAATGAATTATTTATACTTCGTATCAAACACACATAAAGTATGTATGAATCTTTTTCATTAATACATATCCTATACTTTCTCTTGTCATATGACTATATGTAGGAAGGAATTCCTGTTCAACCAATCCTAGTATGTAATGATGGACCGACGAACGGTATTAGTCGTTATCTTGGTCGTCTTCTTGGATTACTTTTGAATAATGCAACTCATTGTAAAAAATTTCACAAAGCTTATAATGTTATCCATGCAATGAACTTCTATGAAAAAAGTGGGCAACTTCGACCAACCACTTTATTGGTTTCATTTAATATCGATGATTTATGTTTAAAATTTTTACATGAACAAGTTATCAATGCTTTAGAAAATTTTCTAAATTTCTACATCTCTGCCGATCATTCTATTCAAGGTATGAAAATTAGTACCATTCTTGAACTTGTTCGTCTCGTACTCGATGAACAATACTTTATTTATAATTATAAATTATATCGACAAACGGCTGGCTGTGCTTCTGGCTCATCATTAACAATTCCATTAGCCTATATTTATTTATATTATTGGCAACGAGATTTATTAGAAGATCTTATAAATAAGAATGAACTCTTTATCAGGTTATTATCTTACTTTTGTTTTCTTGCAAAAAAAATGAAATCTTTTTCTATTCACATCTATGTAGATATCAAGATGAAGCATTTATTACATGGAATAGATCGGAAGATGAACTTCGTACCATACTTGCAACAGCTAATTCACTATTTCCACAATCCATGTGGAATACAACTAATATTGGATCAACGAATCATTTTCGTGATCTCCACATCACCAACCATAATGGAGTTTTTCAAACATCTGTTTACCATGCACAAATGTACAACGAAAAACTATTAATGACATCATTTCCAGATATTATACAACCTCCAATAAAACAAAATACATGGAAATGGTTACGTGCTGCAATCATGAAAGCTACACGATATTGCTCAACTCCAGATACTTTCCACCACGAAATGCTTGAAATCAAATGGGAAGCTCAATTTTATAAAATACCTACCACAGTCTACAGTGAAGCTTATAACGAAATTTTAGAAGATTTCGGTATAAAGGTGGTTTACCAACCACGCACAAGAAGTTATCATGACTTAATGCGTCAACATGTTTTCAACTATGATAAATACCGGAAAGCCAAGAAAACTAAACCCAAACAACAGCAACCAGAAATAAACCAAATAGAACTACAAATTCCATACCTTCCCACCATGGATGAAAGCACAATACATATAATCGAACAGCAATTATATTCGAAAACTTCTGATTATTTCCAACGTCATAACCAAACGCCACCGTTTACGATCAAGATCAAACAAAATCATAGTTTCCTCAACGACAACAGCATCGACTGTCTATTGAAAAGATATCCGGACCGAAGCTACTTAACTTTACCACCCATCATTCAACAAACAGAACCGTATGAAAACAGAAAACATTTCATTCCTCTTACATATATACATTTGCATTTATTAGGTCATCCCTACGGGAAAATCCTCTCAAGCAACTGATCGAACATATGCTACAACAAAACAAACAGACATAACTGAAAAAAAAAACTCTATGTATTTCATATTTAATCAATAAACATTTGTTATTTCTAAACACTTCAGTCAATAAAGAAAAACATACCATTATTCATTACTTTTTAGATAAAAACATCTCACTATACAATGAAACAAAACATGGACAAATAGAAGAATTGCAAACGGCAAACGCGATCGGAACATCCGAAATGGAATCGATTCATTACACAATGACTTATTAACGTGCTACTCGAAACATATTAACTTATCCGAGTAACTACAAGAAAACTATTTCTATCTCTTGGTGCTATCTAAATTTTTATTACGCAGATAATTCATGTATTATGTATTGATTTTAAACTTTCTATCAAAAGTTTCGGATCTCATATACTAATCCTTATGTCAAGTGATATGTGAAAGAAATCATTGATAATTTCGCTTAAAATTTTCTACATAAGTAAATATTGACTTCTATATTCGACTAAGGATATAGTTCAAAGTTAATTTTACTTTGAAAATTTTACTTGTGCAAATTCTATAAATTAGTTATTATATCGAAAAGTAACTCTAATGTTATACATATTAACTGAATTACTATCTAGTAGATATAATATTAAGGTATCCACCTGACGAAGTCCCGCCAAGACAGAAACANACAATCCTATTTCGTTATCAGTAAAAATAAACATACATGAAGATCGTCGGCAAGAAAATAACAATACAGAAAATACTTTTATATTAGCTAGAACATTGAAAGAAAAATCCAGTTGCCGAACCATTCAATCAGGTTTAAATAGAATGAAAATTATCATACGAACAATCAAGGAAACGAATATCTTATACATTTGTTCTGAAGATCAATGGAAAGAAAAGGTGAAGAAATACACGGAAGAGAATCCTATTTTTCAATTGATTGGATCTATGAATTCAGAAACATCATCATCAAACAATCATGTTCAACATACTCTAATTACAATGTGCAATCAAGTCGTTAAAACACTCCATACTTTATTTCTTCGTAAAGCAATTACAACTGAACAATATGAAAAAATGATGTACTACAATCAAACCACAATCTGTAGTGTAAATCATCTGTATTTTATACCAGAAATACGTCATGTAAGTCATTTTTTTTTATTGATTTCTTTCATGTTTTCTTTTCCTTTTTTTTTCAATTACCTGATACTTTTAGAAACAAATCTCAATCCAACCAAGGATCACTTGTTACAAAGAAGAACCTATCCATGCAATTGCATCTTTCGTTCATCGTCGTCTTCAACCTTTCATCAATCATATGATTCATACGACGTTTACAATTGTCAAAGGAGATGATGTCATTGAAGCTTTGGAGCGATATGCTCAAAAAGGTTCTCTTCGATCAACTACACTTTTCGTTAAAATCGATACTCATGATCTTTGCAATACGTTATCTCATCATGTACTTATTACAGCCTTAGAAAAGTTTTTAGGTATCTTTGTACAAAGTGAATATATCAAAGGAACATCAAGAGCAACAATGATTCAACTTGTTCAACTTATTCTTGAAAATCAATTTTGTATCTATGACAACAAATTATATCGACAGACTGCTGGTGGTTCAATTGGTTCACCATTGATCAAAGGATTAATCGATATATATCTATATCATTTACAACATGATTTATGTTCGAAATTATTCAATAAAAGAGAAGTCGTTGGAAGATATTTGAATCAAATATTCTTCACTTGGAATAGATCAAAAGATGAACTACAAACGTTACTGAATCGAATCAATAGAACTGATCCCAACTATGTTCATACACAAATGACAATCTTCATTAGTAACAAATTAGAATATCTTAGTGCTGAAATTAGTCATCATGAAGGTAGACTACAGACAAGAGTCTATCATGATTGTAATCTTGAACCATATGCATTACCTTATCTGGTGGAAACAAAAATAAATTCGCAAGATCATGAATTATTATTACGTGCTGCTCTCATTCGTGCTCTTTTCTATTGTTCGAATGTCGATGAATTTGAGAATGAACGTTTGCATATTGAAGTATCTTTTATTCTCAATGATATATCAATGAATTTTATTCGAAACGGTGTTCACAAGTTTCTTTACGAATTTGACCTATTCATGGTAGATGATACCTGCATTAATGATGCTACGTATCAAAATCATCGACGACAGTTTCAAGAATTTCTCCGAGAAATGAACAAATATACTGTAAAAGCACGAGAAAAACTGCGACAACGACTTCGACAACAAAGACAACGCCGACAACAACAAAAACGACGAGAGCAACAACGGCACAGACAACAGCAACGTCGACGAGGGCAACAATTCTATGAAATGAATGCAAACAAACAGGAAGACAAAGAAAAAGACGAAAACCCACGAGTATTATCATCCGTTATTGAGCAAGTAAAGTTTTGATACTCTTTTCATGTTTCTCTTTTTTTCAATAAATTCTTTTTCGTTTTCTCATAAGGAGCATATAGAAAATGACAAAAATTGTCATGCAAAATTAAATCAACTTCAATATCCAACAATGATAATGACAGCCATGGTACAAAAAAATAGAGAAAAAGTTCGATGTGACTATTGGAATATGTCAGATACTGAATTTAGTGAACGATTATTCAACATTACTAAAAATGATCAACATCGTCAAACTAAAATCAAACGATGGCTAGAAAGAGATGTATTATTATTACAATTTATACGAGAACATGCTTGTTTACTAGCTGATTTTTATATATTAAAAATGGAACTAGATCTATATGACATGTATGTGAATATGACACAATCGGAATTTTTTTGGGTATCACAAATGTCTCCAAGCATGATTCAAGCGAGAACTATAGATGAACAATTTCTTGAAACGCATACCGATGCCAAACAGCATTTAGAGATCATTGAAAAACAATTTAGTCAAGTCAAGAAGAATGTTATTAACTATGTACAGCGTAAAGAACAACAACATCAAATGTCAACATTATCAATCACTGATATGAATCTATTAAAGGCATTTATTATTACATTCATACGACAAGATCAAAAATGTTTACACGCTGATTCAGAACAAAAAAAAACTTCATTATTACTAAATGCGAATGATGTTCGCTCAGTAAAAGAATTCTATGATTTACAACCAACTTCACTACAGGTAAGAAACTTATTATTATCTTCATAAGAAAATAATTTGTTTTAGTTTTTTGTTTCGAAGAAGATTAGAATACTAACTATTCTATTTTGTCTAGATTAGGTTAGCATGCAATATTTGGCGAGCAACTATTCAGCAGGAACGAGCAAAGAAAATCAAGAATTCTTCTAAATCATGTACGACTAATAATGAAGAAGATAATCTTCGTTGTCCACTACAATCGAATAACAACAATGCCACAACTGTTAATATATTCTCACAATCTTCGATTGGCTGCAACAATTTAAAAAATCCATTACAATTAATTTTAGAAGAAATGTACAAACCAGCCAAAGAATGGCCTCGAATAACACCAGATACTACGATAAGAGATAGTGCTGATATTATCGAAAATAGCAAGAAAACTTTTCTTAGTCTCAATCAACAACAAGAACAAAACTCTTTATCCATGGCCCATACAGACTCAAATCTTAATTATTTATTAATGAATATTATTGAAAATCGTCAACGAACATTAACACAACGTATACAATTCACTCGTGACTTTGACAAGATATCTTTTAATGTTCATCATAATGATTTCAATAACATGAATGAAACCAACAAAGTTTATGATAAGGAAAATCATGATGATAATGATAATGAAGATATTGAATATAAGAACAATAGTGACATGCTCAAGGATGACGGCGACTATGATGCTGACAATCTACAGTTCTATTGTTTATAGTGTTTGCCATGCTTCAATAAAGTTTATTCCTTTTTTATTAATATTGATTTGATTTTTCTTTCTTCTTTTTATTCATCCTTAGTATTGATTATTTAACTCAAATTATTTTCAATATTTATTGTAGATTAATTTTCTTGATTTAAAGACGAATATCAATCACAATTACAATACGATATTCTATTATCATCATCATCAACTATAATCAGAGGAGCAAAAGAATAAGAATAAAAACAAACGTTTTTTCTTCATTATGAATTCTGATATAGAAAAGAATACAGAAACACTGAAAACTCCAAGTCAAGATGCGCAAGGTCGTTGGTATGAATTACTATCACCCGCGCAAGTCTTGACTGAACAACAACAACCATTAGCAACAACAACCACAACAATAAAGAAAAAACCACGCAATCGAAAATTACAACGTTATTGGCGAAAACTTCGTAAACAACGTATCAATGAGACAACAATAAGAAAGCTGAAGCGTAGCAAGAAACGAGAACGACAACAAACACGCGAACAAAGGCCAACAATACATGAGGAGCACCATGAAGAAATAATTCTTCTTAATGACACAGTGGAAACACCGAATGAATCAGAGAAAGTAAAAGTTTGTTATATTTGTTTTCAAAACAATAACTACGACTTTCTTTGTATTTTCTTTCTATTGATTAGATATTACCAGGTCCATATAATCCTCAAAGAAGTAAAACGAAACGCAAAAGAGATGAAACAACAAATCAAAATGGAACTATTGTCAAATCATTCAGTCAAATGTCCATGAAAGATCAGGAAAGAAAAAAGAAGAAGCGATCAACTTCTTCTTTGAAATTAGAACAACAACAACAAGAGAAAAAAAAGGGGGAGAAAGAAGAAAATGAAAAAGAAGAGAACAATCAAGATGATCAGAGAGAGCATGTGAACAATATCGTTCTATCAACTATGAATGAACAAAAAGTTTCATTTCATTATTATTTAAATGTATCGAAACGAAAATTTAAACGAATGTTAAAAACATCGATGGTTGGTGACAAACATGTTCTACATTGGTGTAATACGGAAGAAAAATTGAATTATATTTATAATCATACTCGTTTATTAGACAGAGTGTATTATCTTAAATTAGAACAAAATCTTTGGGAAAATTATACTATTTACGGTGAAACGTATCATTGTTGGACACCCCGCTTATCAAAAACATTTATTCAACAAAATCAACTCAAATCAGATTATCGACAAACACGAAAGTCAATGGAAGTATATCGAAAAAAATTAATTCAACAAATAGAAGAAGCTGAACAAAATCTTGAACAACATAGATTATTATTAGAAAATCATCAACATCAAGATTCCATTGTCAATGAAGCACATTTATGGGCAACTATTTTAGCTTTAGTACGTAAAGGTCAACATAAATTAACGAAAGAATATAAACATCGAAAGAAATATTTCAAAAATAGTGCCATAGATTGTCATCTAGTAAAAGCATGTTATGATTGTCAACCAACACAAGAAGAAATTCGATCTATGCAATTGATCTGGCAAGCCACTTATCATCAATATAAATCACAAGAAGATGTAGATGTTTCAAAACAACATCTCTATATAAAACGATTACCAAAATCATTTGATTATTTAGATCAACCAAGAAGAAAAGTAGAAAATACATTATCAAATTCGATTTATAATAATAATATACGAACAACACTTTCTACACGTCATAAAAAAATTATTGCACAAAATAAATGTGATCTAATGAAATTTCATATTAGTCTAGCTGAAGCAGCTGTTCGTAGTTATCAGCAAATAGCTGAAAAGGAAAAACAAAATTTATTCAATCGTATGGTAGCAGATCCTCTTCGACAATCGATGGCAAATTCATTGAAGGAAGACATTGAACGACGACAAAAACATATTCAACAACAAATACAATATATAACAAAACGACGCATTTGTTTTTTCTATCATCGCTCCGACGATCGTCGACAAAAATGGAATCGTCGGAGCTATTGTCTTGATACCTATTGGGATATTCTACCATCATCACCTATTATTGAAGTTTTTTCTCACTTAACTTCGGAACAATTAGCATTACTTGCTTACGGTCCAAAATATGTTCCACCATGTCAAAGTCGATTTTTTAGTAAGAAAAAGAGAGAAAAAATTATTGAACAAGAATATCAAACGATCATGTATAAAATTACGGAATTTTTTCGTGAACATTCTTTTAATGTATCAGAGAAACGTGTCAACGAATTTTCTATTGATTTTAAAAGTCTTCTTCAACGTCTCTATACAAAAAACATATCACGAAAATTATATATTCGTGCTAAACGTGAACATAAATTAATGATGAGTATTCGTCATTATTTACATCGCTATCAACAAGTTATTTTACGACGAACAGATAAAAGTAAAGTATTTCATCTCGGTGATGCTCATGATTATGAAGAAAAAGTACGCCAATATATGCAAGAAACAAATGCTTATGAAGAAATTATATCAGGTATTTCACCGTTAGCTACAAATTTACAACAAGTTATATCATTATTGGATCGTCTCTATCATACTGAAAAGCCACTTATTACGAAAAAACAATATGAGAAGATGATTCCACAATCAAATGAAATTGAATTAGGTCATCTCTATTTTCTACCAAAACCCCATAAAGTATGTTTTATCTTTGAGAAAAAATTTGATTAGTTCTATACCTTTTTGTATTATACGACAGATTGCTACACCATTACGACCTATTGTTGCTTCAATTCATGCACCAGCCACGAAAATATCAGCCTTTCTAGATGATTTACTTCGTCCAATATTTTATCGCGTTGCCAATAATACTAGTTATATCAATGGTACACATGTTGTTCAACAATTAGAACAATATCAACGCGAAGGTCATTTATTACCAACAACCAAATTTATTACCATTGATGTCAAAAATCTTTATACAATGATACCAAAAGCAGGTGCATTGGATGCTTTATATCGTTTTTGTATGAAACATGCAACAAAAGAACGTCAAATGGGCAATTTAACTGTCAATACGATCATACGATTAGCATGTGTTGTTTTAGATACGAATTGTTTTGTATTTGATAATAAATATTATAAACAAATTCGTGGTGGTGCTATGGGCTCACCATTTACAACAACATTAGCAAATATCTATATGTATGAATGGGAACAACACTTAATTCAATATCAACAGGAAAGACATGAAGTCTATGGTCGGTAAGTTATTGCAAAGGGATAGAAAAAGAAATGATTTTTTACAAATGATTTAACATGGTTTAGATATATCGATGATATTTTTATGACTTCAAATGAATCATTGGATAAGATCAAAGATTTACTTGATCAGGAAGCTAAAAAAGATGTTAATATTGGTATTAATTATAAGATTGGTGAATCAACCGAATTTCTTGATGTTTTCATTGACAATTGTCAAGGCAAATTAAAAACATCTGTTTTTCGTAAACCAGCTGCCGAACCTTATCTCCTGCCATATCAATCAGATCATCCGCATCATATTCGTTCGAATACAATTTATACAGCATTACTTCGTGCTAGTCGTCTTTGTTCGAATGTTGAATTATTTGATGAAGAACGATTAAATATTGAAATTGCTTTACTCTTAAATGGTTTTTCGCCTAAATTTATTACTCATCATATTAAACGATTCTTTCGTAACTATAATGCTCGTTCTATTTACAAAGAGTTAGATGCCGAGGCCTATCAACAGTTACATCAACAATTACTTACGGAATTCTTCCATAGTAATGATCAACTACAACAACAAACATCAAAAGAAGAACAAGTACAAGTAACAGAAGAGAAGCCAGAAAAAGCTATCAAGAAATCAATCAAACAAAAAAAATTAATTCTTCATTATCGCTATGAAAAAGGTCCATTGTCATCGTTTAATCGTGAATTTCGAAAATTATGGGAAAAACATTTTTGCTATAAGAACTCCAAAATAAATAATGTTCGTTTAATACTTGGCATACGAATTAATCCATCACTCGATCGCCTATTAATTAAAAAGAAACCATCACGTACTCTATTAACGCGAATGGATACTATTACTTCAACGACAACAGTCGTAGCAACATAAGAAAAATCAAATTTATGTTTCCATTATTAATAAAATCTTTTCCGTTTTTTGTCTCTTTGTATTTAGTATCATCTTAGTTTAGTAGATTTTGCTTTATGTTTCTCTTTTAGACTTTTCTTGCTTGCTGATATAATTAGTCTTAGTCAAATATTTACTCTTCTCAGTTTATTTATTCTAGATATGTGTTAAATCATTTGATATCGAACTTCAATAAACATAAAATGCTTAAACCAATAATGGAATATTCGGATGAAGCACAAGAAGAAGAAGAAGAAGAAGAAGAAGAAGAAGAAGAAGAAGACTACATTGTTGATGCACATGATTTTAATCATGATAAGGACGAATTTACTTTTGATGAAAAACTACCTCAATTACTTCAATATCTTGATTGGCAAGATTGTTCACAATTGATCAACAATATTGACTCCATAGATTTAAAGAGTGAACAATTTAGAGAAAGAATTTTATCGATGCGATATCAATTGATCAAAGAAAATGATGTACTACGAACATCTTACAAAGGTTATTCATTGCATATGTTTCGAATCAAGGATTTTCAACGTCTATCATGGGACTATATCAAACAAAATAGTATCTATACATTGATTAAAAAAATAAATACAACGAAACCAACCGTGAGTCAACAATGTTTGATGAAGATTGTCGAACAAGTAGAAACGACATTGGATGATTTATTTTGTTCCGATGTTATTACTCAACGACAATATGATCAGATGCGCGTCAGTCGTTTCGAAGCGGAATTGCATTATTTAATATTTGCTTTAGATATGAAAACGGTATCTTGACTATGTTTTTCTTTTTCTTCTTTATTTTCTTCTCATATTTATCTATTCCATTTTATAGAATAAAAAGAATGAAACATTCTACTTAGTTCGGCCCATTATGATCTGTAATAATGGAGCAACAATGCGTATTTCACATTATTTAAGTAATTTACTCTGGTCTATCTTTCATCAACAAACAGGTTGTAAGACATTTACCAATGGGGCTCAACTTGTTCAAACTTTTGAATTATATTCTAAAAATCAATATCTTCAATCGACCACTCTTTTCATTACATTTAATATCCATGAAATGTGTACGAAGTTTTCACACGAGGTCATGATCAAAGCGCTTGAACATTTTCTTTTGACTTATGCTACACAAGAAAAAATGGAAGGATTAGCTATTGAAACTATTCTACAATTGGTGCGTCTCGTATTAGATAATCAATATTTCATTTATCGAAATAAACTCTATCAACAAACAAAGGGTAATGCTTCGGGTTGTCGATTGACGATTCCATTGACTTGCATTTATCTATGTTATACTCAACCAACATTGATGTCTGCTCTTATTGATCAAAATCACATTGAACTATTTGGAAAGTAAGTGTCTCGTTCACTATTTCATGATTGAAAAACATTTGTTTTTGAATGATGATAATAATGATAGGTTTCAACATGATCTCTTTTTTACATGGAATAAATCTGAAGATCAAGTTCGTTATTTGTTTGAAAAATCGATTACCATAGAGAATCAATATCGATCTATTTCAATTCATCCATCAATAGGAACAACATTTCATTTACTTGATATTGAAATAGGTCATCACGATGGCACTCTTCATACTCGAATTTTTCATGATCCAGTCATGGATCAATATGAATTACCAAATCAATTTGAATATGGAACATGTCTACCATCACGATTATTACAAGCCATACTAATGCATGCTGTACGATGTTGTTCTAATGAAGATAGTTTTCATTTTGAACAACGTTATATTAAATTTCTCTATCTTTTATATGGCTTTTCAGTAGATTTTATTGATGATTCTATTCAACGATTTTATAAGCAATTTCATGCATCAGAAATTCATTATCTGGTCGATCGAATTCCCTATGAAATTTTACGTCAGCATGTACTGATACATTATAAACCATTACTCGTATTGAAAAAACGATGGTATACAGAAATAGAAAATATTCAACCGATTCCCTATTCAAATTATCATTCAGATCCATCAATGATGGACTATTTTAAGTGTCATTTATTCGATCTTTTAAAAAAATGTTTTATTTTTGAGCCAGAATTCAATGAAAATGAAATTGAAATGAAACCACACTTAATGAAGAATATTCCTTTGCCAATGATGAAATATTTCGAGAAGCAAAAACCATCACGTCATCTTTTAACTTTACCGATCGAGGAAAGTGATCAATATGATAGTATGTGTATAGATCGATAACTTTTAATTATCTTTGTTAATGGAATACACTATTTATTTTAGGTGATGACAGCTAAGAGATGCATTCTTATGGCCAAAAAGAAAGAAGATAACATGAACAAATTATTGTATAGTGAATCGATTCGCTTTTTTTTTCTTTATTTCTAGGATTTTCTTTTTTCATAGAATTAAAATTAGACCGTAGATTTTATGCTTTGCTACTTTGTTTCAGATTTCTTTCGTCTTCATTTGATAATCGCTCGTCACAATATGGCTGATCAAATCAATCAAGCTATTGATATTGTTATCCCATGGATGGAATATGAAAATGACGGCAATGACGACGACGATGAACACATGGAGAAAATTATCAGTCTATCTGACTGTAAAGGGAATGGACGTCCTTTGTATCAGATTACACGAAAAAAATACTTTGAAATCATTCGACAACAATTACAAGCAAACAATCGTATTCTATTCATCGCCTACAATACCTATGCTTATTATTCATGTGAAAAAAATGAACTACAACAAAAAGTTCATGAACATATGACACGTCCAGGTATTTATCGTTTGATAATGGAATTAAATGATACAAATCAACATCATATTGAAGAAGTTTTAAACAAGATGGATAATGAAATAACAACAAAATTAAATCTTTTATTTGATGATAAATTAATATCGCATGCGCAATGGCAAAAGCTGAGCATGTATCGATTGAATACTCGACTAAATACTCTGTATTTTTTACCTGATACACGCAGAGTAACACATCATATTCATCTCTTCTCATTTTTGTATTTCACTTTTCAAAAACATAGGATCATGTGCCATTTCATCCAATGATATACGATCGTCATCATTTAACAATGAACATTACTCGTTTTCTTACTCGTCTTCTTCAACCTATTTATGACGATGTAACTTTTTCGACAACATGTAATAGAGGTACTGATGTCATTCATGTTGTCGAAGAATATGCCAGGAAAGGTCGTCTTCAAGCAAACACTTTATTTGCAACTTTACGCATCGATAATCTATCGACTCTAATTTCACACGAAAAAATATTAGAAAAGTTGCAACATTTTCTTCATACATATCTATTCGATGGAAAAATGGAAGGCATAACAGTGCCAACAATCTTGGATCTTCTACAACTTGTTCTTGAAAATCAATATCTTCTCTATGAAAAAAAAATTTATCAGCAAACTCAAGGATGTGGTGATAATTCACCATTGACAATGTTAATAGTGAACATCTATCTATACTATTGGCAACAAGATTTAATGACGATCTTAAACAACAAAAAGGAAATCTTTGCCAGGTAATAATAGTGTTTTTCAAGAGATTCGTTTTCTAGATACAACTATATATATCTATATATATAGATGCTTTGATGAACTATTCTTCACATGGAATGAATCAGAACAAAGCCTTCATGATATACTTCATACAATGAATCGACAAAATCCTCAAATTCAAATTATTTTGTCCATGAGCAATAATATCAACTATCTCGATGTTAACATTAGTCATATGGATGGTGATCTCAAAACACAAGTGGCTCATCAATTGAACATTGATTCCTATTCATTACCTTATGTATTTGGTCATCCACGCAAGAAAATTCATACATTATTTCGAGCAGCTCTTCTGCGTGCTACACGATGTTATGCTAAGGTATCTGATTTTGCTACTGAACTCCAAAGAATTCAATCATCATTTCAATACAATCGATTCTCACATGATTTTATCATGTACAAAATAATATCATTCTTCGAAGAGTTTGATGTATTTCAAATGAAGGTCCACTATGGAGAGAAATTTTATGATCAGCGTCTTTATGATCATCTTCGACGAAAAGTATTCAAATACCAACGACAAGAGAAAGCGGAAAAAATCAAACGACGTCGACAAATTCTTAAACATCGATACCGACATTCGTTAAACCAACCTAGATAGTCCTGAGTTACACTACATGCCATTCTTCCACAAAGCATTCATGTCAAATTCCTTGACAAAACTGTTTCTATCGATAATGAAAACAAAACAAAATAATCGACAACTTCAACATGAAAAAGAATACACTTGTTTTTTTTATTTGATTTCTTTTCTTCAATAATTTTAATTACATTTAATAAACTTTTTAGTAGATGCTTAGTTGTAGTATTAGAATATAGTCTAGATAACTCTCTATCTCGTTTTAGATTAAAGTATTAAAAATTACGAAGGTTAACAGTAACCAGTATGCAACAATCATGCACAATTCAACTAAAAATAATCAAGTATGTGAATATAAATTTAATTTATCAATAATATACTTGTTTCTTTTCTTTTGGATAGATACAACAAGAACAACATGCACTTTTGCACACATATATTGACGATGATAATTTAAACAAAAATAAAATCAGGAGGATGAAATAGCATTGAAAGAAAAAATGCATACAACAACAGATACAATAGAAAAATTAACTAAGCAATTCTATGAATGGCGATATGTCCTTCGTTCATATGATAATCATCTTCAACACAGATAATTTTCATTTTTTTTTATTATTCTAGATATACACTAGTCTATTGAACTCCGATGAATAATAACATTTCCAGAAAAGCAAGACAAATAATAGATAATTAAATGTGAGTCTTATTTAATCATTGAAACAAACCATTGTAACTATCGAAAAAGCTTGTATTGCTGTTGGATAGATTTTAGAATGAGTACCAATAATAGTCAAATTGGTAATACACCAGCAGAGTCAATCATTAACAACACTGATAATGAAGCCAACATCGATCAACTATTATCTGTCGAAATTGTGATTACAAGCCAGTCATCAATACAACTCAATATGACGAATATGATTCCGAGTCAAACTCCAATTATTCCTAATCCAACGCCAAATATACCTAATCTTCAGGAAGATGAATTTCGAAGAAGAACACGCGAAGCTCGACGGAGACGTCGTCAACGACGGTCTGAACGACGACGACAGCAGCGAGCAACACGACGACAGCAAAACAATCAACAACGGCGACGCCGACGACGACAAAGTACAGAACAACAATATGAGCAGCGGTCACCCTACGTATATCAAAGTCGATGGGAACGACTAGAATCACGAGAACGTTACTATGATATGTGGGGAAGCGATTCATTCGAAGACTTCATGGATGCAATATTCATCGAGCCATTGTTAGAACAATATGACTTAGAAACCATGGATCCAAGACAACGTCGAGACCAAGAACATATAAATGTATTGGAAGGGATGGCAGCTTTAGAACAATTGGCCTTGATACAAGATGAACTTGAACAATCAAAACAGATCAACGAAGTCGAACAATGGCAAGACGAAAAACAAAAGCAAATGCACGCACTCACAATTTGCGAACAAAAACAATTAAACGATTTTGAAAGAATTCCAGGACCAGAACAAGATGAACTATTACAGGACCAGATGGAACAATTGCAACAAATCGCTACAGTCGAAAAATGGCAAGAAGAAATACTGCAGCGCATAGACTTAATCGATCAAATTGAACAAGAACAATTGTACCAATTCGAAAGGACTCCTACACCACCTCCATATGATAACAGATGGGATCAAAAATACCACCACTAAGACATAGATGTAATTGGAAAATAATAAGAAAAGCAACCAAAACAGCGAAATATTGACCAACTATAACGGTTGAAGCAATACAAACATAGCGAAATTTTAATACCGTTAACTTAATGATGAATACACCAACCGTTAGATTTTCCTACCTATGTTAAGCAATTTTCACGTTTCATAAATAAACATAGGGCCTGTACCTATCCTTTCTACACTTCTCTTCAAAAAAACACATACATATAACTTTCTTCTCTGCCTTTTCAGATAAATGTTCACCAACCAATTATCAACCGCACATCAAAACAAGACGACTCTCCATCGAATTCCAACACCAATGAATCAAAAACAATACCTGCTTCCTATAACCTTTAATCAAAATACCCCATTCACAAAATTCCGAACAACAAATGCTACCACAGACAACAACCAACTATAAAACATCAGCAAAAATTCTATGTCACTAGCAGCCATCAAAAACAAAAGCATAATATCCAAATCACTGACAAACATTTTCCGCTGGTTATGCATTGACTCCTTCTTCTACATCATTCAATCAGTCCACACTCAAAACCAACCCAACTTCTAATCATTGAGATATGCCGAAAGCATAGTCGTCGCATTCCTTAAACAGACTACAAATCACATTATATTTCATAATCGTCACCATTGTTTTACACTCATAAATCAAATCAATAAAAAATCTACCACCTCAATTTAATCCATAAAGTGTTGAACTGCCAAATTCAACTCACGACTCACCATAAAAAAACGACCAAAACAAAACTGGTATTTCATTAAAATAATATACATACACTTAGATTGTGATAGAAAATATTCGATTAAACAAAAACAATTTTGCATCATCTCCAAAATAGTTATGGACACATATAATTCTTTACCTTCTATCGAGATTCAGGATCATTATGTATTGTTAATACTATTAATGGTTTCATCTGCAAAAATATAACTTTTTGCTTATTGCGTCAGAGTTAGTTCATATGTTTTATACATATCTTCTTCGATTTTGAACTACTCGAACTATGATATAATATCAATTTGAGATTCCACCTGACGACGGTCGGACAAAACAGAAACAAACGCCCGTTTGTCGTGGAACGGTCACTATTCTATACACACACATACTCAGTGTTTAGATAAATCTTTGATTTTATACATTTTTAATNTTCCTCCTTTTTGTTTTTCCATTTTTCCCCATTTTTTTCTTCGTTAAACAGACGCATCAGTTATTATCTAATTATACAGAAATGAGTTGTTCGTGTCAACTTGTATCGATCAGACAAACTAACCTTGCTTACCTTCTCTTATTCGTAGCCTTAATTTGTCCCGCTTTCGGCCGTAGTAATTATTTTTATGATCAATTCTCATGTCTACCTATTCTCATTCAATTGACTTCGTCTTTATTACAAAAGAAAAATCGTCACATTAGCAAAGATTAAAATATCTATATCATCTAGAACATTCCATGTCAATGTTCGCAAAAAAATAAAATGCTCCTTTGCATATGACTTAAATAATTAAATCATTTTTTTTTCTATTCTAGATATATATATATATAAATTATTATAATTTGTATTAGACAAAAAAAAGAAACAATGTCATTTGTACAACAACATCAACAACAAGTAAGAAGAAAAAAAATTAGATAAATTAAAATAGTTATGTTTTAATGTTTTGTTTCTTCTAGAATAACAATAATAATAATAACAATCTTTATATTCAATTAATTCAATTATTAGACGTCAATGAAAATGGACGAGTAAAATAAAAAAATTAATATATATACTTATTAGAATAAAACTTTTTCTAATTTAGCTTGTTCTCCCATTTTCTGGTCGACTCATTCTTATTGATCGTCCATTTGAAAATAATCATGAAAAGTAAGTTGTTTTTATAAAATGTTATTTTTTGTTATTATTTATTTTTTTTTTATTTTATTCACAATTAGTAGTGATAATGAAGACCAAAATGAAACATCAGTCGATGATTATAATGTAGAATCTGAATTCTCATCATCAATGTCCGACGATTATTTTTTAACTGATGATGAGAATAATGATGATAATAATGAAGATAATGGATCATATATATCATTGTCTTTACCACCATCACCATTTGCTTATGATCCATTCGATTCCTATGACTGGGAATCTTAAATAATTAGATTTTTTTTTCTTTTTTTTATATTATAAAGTATTTTTGTTGCTGTTGTTATATATGTAAATTTCTTTTCTTCATGAATAAAAAAAAAAAAAAAAAAGAAAACCATAAGATGCCTATTTAACGATACAGCAACAATCGTGTAGAAAAGATTACCGTACACAAGACAAGATGCTTAAATTCGAATATTTGCATTCTAAATCAGAAAAATACTTTACTATTTTTTATATAATTCTGTCGCCCATAAAAATAAATCGGATTGAACAGAAAAATGATAGGTCTCGACTAGTACTATCCAATGCACTATTAGATAAAACTTTTTGTCAGTGTATGTACAAAAAAGTAATCATTATAGTTTGCCAAATTTTCGCAACATTTTTTAAATAAAAAAAAAATATTTACAACAAGTCTGACTGGAACTGAAATGTAGAGTACAGAAAGTTGCATCTAATAGTGAACTAGTATTTCAAGGGTCAGCTACAGTCAAAATATGAGCGTTAGAAACTACAATTTCAAATTTGAAACATAAAAGTTAGTCGGGAAACGGTCAAAAAATATTCAAAATAAGACCGTTATATATGATAAATTCAAATCGGAAACATAACTGTATAAGTTAAAAAATCAAGTGATACTTTAAAGTCGACTGTTTGAATTTTCAAAACTCAAGCTGAAAACAAAAGCGTTAAAAATTCAAGGGTTAGATTATATTGGAATGAAAATCGTTAGAAATCATAATTTTAATCTAAAAAGAAAAACGTTGAAAGGTGGAAGGTTAAATAATATTCGAAACAAAACTGTAAGAAATATTATTTTCCAGTTTGAAAAAAAAATGAAAGTTTAAAAATGATATTAGTTTTGAAATATGGTCGCCAATGGTCAAAGTTATACTTTTTTTATTCGAAATATAAGGGTTAATACTGTAAAGGTAGACTTATTTTGAAAACGGGACCGTTATAATTAAAAATTTTGAAAATTAACTTTTGTTAATTAAAGGTGAAAATTTTAAATATATTAGACGTGACCGTTAGCTTATTGTCGTTTGTGGTAGTTTGTTGTCCTGTATCGTAGTTTCTTGTCGTTTGGTATAGTTTACTGTCGTTGGTTATATTTTATTGTCATATTCTGTTTTCTTTTCTTTTTCTCGTCGTTTGTTGTCGTCTGCCATAGTTTGTTGTCATATATCGTAGTTCATTGTCGTTTGCTGTATTTTGTTGTCTTTTTTTTCTCGTTCTTTTGTTGTCGTTTGCCGTTGTTTCTTGTCGTCCGTCGTAGTTTAATGTCGTAGCTTGTTGTCGTCTATGGTGCCTTCGAATATATAAATAGGCTCGCTCTCCTTGTGATGAATTCATTTCGTCGATTAACACAACAGCAGCAACATCGATTCTTCTATTGTAATCTCTACTGACAATAGCAAATGTATTCATTCTCAACCACCTATATCAGGTCTGCTATTTTTTTTTTGTTAGGCTTTCCTCTCAACCTTGTGTCCGTACAATTTGAAACCAATTTTCGTCGATTTTATATCTAGTAGAGGCGGACATATATTTATCAGATAATTGTACAGCGATTCGTATTAAATTAATTTTCGAAGTTCATGGGCTTCCTAGATTTCAAAATGTTTTTTTTTCTTTAATTTTTTCTAATTATTAGCATACATATTCTTCTCGACTTGCTATGAAGCGACTATTCCGAGTGTGGTATCCGTCAATGAATCAAAATTTACGTATAAATAAGCAAGTAAAAGAATCACATTTTTTTAATCACATACTGGTTACTTTTATTTTAAATAGATATGACAACAAGAAGATATAATTTTTCATACTTAGATTAGTGACGGTAATATAAAAAAATTTGAACAACAGCACCAATCGTCATTGACGGAACGACGATTAGAACAGCAGATACAATTGGAAAATCAACTAAGAGAATCATACAAACGGCGAGATGCAGATTAACGACAATATCAATAATTAAAATGACTAGAAAAAAAAAAAGAATTCTATGGTGATTTATAAAAAGAATGATGGCAAGATTTAAGACAAATTAATCGTGTAGAACAAATTGTTATTGCAGAACAATGTACATAACAAAATGAATCAGTTAAACACTGGAAAAATTCAGAAAAATGTCAACAACATGAACTTGCAGGACAACTCAAGCTTTTGCAGTCATTTCTGAAAGAAAAATAGCAAATGCTAAGTCATTGTAATTTTTTTTTCTTTTGTTCAACGATGTATATTTACCTAACCATTTGGTGATTTAGCATAGTTTATTTTTCTAGTTTATCTCCCAAATAAATTAATTACTCAAACATTATTATTTTTTGTTTTAGATAAAAATATTTAACATGAATATGAATACAAATATTAATACAGAAACGATCAAAACTCCAAGTCAAGATGCTCAAGGTCGTTGGTATGACTTACTATCACCAACACAAGTACTAACAGGACAAGAGCAAACAACAACTACAACATCAATATCAAACATAAAGAAAAAGCAACCACGTAATCGAAAATTACAACGTTATTGTCGAAAACTTCGTAAACAAGGTTTAGATGAAGCAACTATCCTAATGTATAAACGTTCTAATCAATTAGAACAACAACAACAGCATCAAACAGAGGATGTAGAAATGGAAGAAATAATTCCTCTCAATGATACAATGGTAAGAATAAATATATCTGTTCATAGACATGCTGATCGTGTTTTTCGAAATAAGCGTTGTTTTTTTTTCTTTTTTTTATTGATTAGACATTACCAGGTCCATACAATCCTCAACGAAAAATAATGAAACGTAAACGAGATGAATCAACTAAGCAAGATGATACATCTATTATCAAATCATTAAGTCAATTATCAATGAAAGAAAATTCTAAGAAAAAAAAGAAACGATCGTCTTCGTCTTCGAAAGTACAAGAACAAGAAAACCAACAGCAAGACAAAGAAAATGAAGAAAATTTAATTCAAGTCAATGATAATAAACAGACAACATCATTACATTATTATTTAAATGCTACGGATAAAAAATTTAAACAAATGTTAAAGGCTGCCTTTGTTGGTGGCAAAAATATTCTACAATGGTGTAAATCAAAAGAGAATCTTCATTATCTACGTGAACATACTCGTTTAGTTGATAGAGTACATTATCTTAAATTAGAAGAAGATCTTTGGGAAAATTATACAATTTATGGTGAAACATATCACTGTTGGACATCACCATTATCAAAAACAATCATTAAAGATAATAAATTAGAATCAGATTATAAAATATCCAAAAAGTCTATGATAAAATATCAAGAAAGAATCAAACAACAACAACAAGAAGCTGAAGAACAAGTTGAAAAGCATGCCTTATTATTGAAAGATTATCAACAGCAAGATTCAAGCATCGATGAACAACATTTATGGGCAGCCATCTTAGCATTAGTACGTAAGGGTCAACATAAATTATCAGAAAATTATGAACATAGAAAAAAATATTTCAAAAATAGTGCTAAAGATTATTCTTTTGTTAAAGCATGTTATGATTGTCAACCAACACAAGATGAAATTATGTCAATGCAAGTTATTTGGCAAGCAACTATTAATGAATGTAAATCACAACAAAATGTCGATATTTTAAAGCAACATCTCTTTATAAAACGAATACCTAAATCATTAGATTATCTTGATCAATCATTTTCAAATGTGGAGAATAAATTAAGTAAACCTGTTTATAATGATAATATAAGAACAACAATTTCAACACGTCATAAAAAAATTATTGCACAAAATAAATGTGATTTAATGACACTTTATATTAGTGTGGCTGAAGCAGCTGTACATGGTTATTATCAATATGCTGAAAATGAAAAAAAGAAATTAGTCAATCATATGAAACAAGATCCACTTCGACAAGAATTCATCGAACAATTTATCCAAGCTATTGAACAACGCCAAAAACATATTCGACAATATATGGAATATTTAACAAAACGACGTATTCATTTTTTCTACCATCGCTCCGACGATCGTCGACATAAATGGTATCGTCGGAGCTATCATCTTAATTTATATTGGGATATTCTTCCATCATCACCTATTATTGAAGTTTCTATCAAATTAACACCGGAACAATTGGCTTTACTTTCTCGTGGTCCAAAATATGTACCACCATGTCAAAGTCGATTTTATAAGAAGGAAGCAAAGGACAAAATTATTCAAGAAGAATATAAAAATATTATTACTAAAGTAACCGAATTTATTCGACAACATTCTTTTTGTGTATCAGAAAAACGCATCAACGACTTTTCTACTGATCTTAAAAGTCTTATTCAACGTCTTTATACAAAAAAATTATCACGAAAATTATCAGTACGTGCTAAACGTGAACATAAATTAATTACTAGTATTCGTCGTTATTTAAATAAATATCGACAAGTTATTTTACGGCGTACGGATAAAAGTAAAGTATTTCATCTAGGTGATGCCAATGATTATCAACGAAAAGTTCTTGAATATATGCAAGAAACAGAAGCCTACGAAGAAATTACATCTGGTATTTCACCATTAGCAGCCAATTTACAACAAGTTATTTCATTACTTAATCTTCTTTACCATGCAGAAAAACCTTTGATTTCTAAAAAGCAATATGAAGCAATGTATCCAAAAGAAAATACAATTGAATTAGGTCACCTCTATTTTNAAAAAAAAAAAGAAATTATAAATTATCTAGTTTGATTTTGAAAAATATAATTAAATGAATAGCACAATTGACTGAATTTTATACTGCAATAAACAATGATTAATTATTAAACATTCTTCACAACGACCTTTTCTAATCGATACTGATGTTCAAATTTTTTTATTATTGATATTTTACTTTATACAAAATAAAAAAACAGAAAAAAAATTATGATCACTTATCTTAATATGTGATGGCCTACCATAGTAAATCATGAGGTGTTGTAGAATAACAGTCTCTTTGTATATAAATATAGTGGTGTGACACGTGACTAGAACGTGTCGAAATAGGTAGAACTCAGTCCTAATATACAATCATTTGTCATGTTATAAAATAATATGTTGTCATTGCATTATTTTCTACGATATTTCTCGAGTGCACTGTCGCGATATATAGTGGTTTCTCACACTAAAACGGTTTTTTTGTGAATACAGTCATATGTCGTTTTATACAGTGTTGTGTTATAGGGGTGTCGAATCTGTTCATATCTATCATAATCTCTTCTCATATGCCGTATCCTGTTGTTATGAACTATGATCTGTCGTAATGCATCGTCATGTGATTTTTTTCTAACAGTTTTCTTTTCTTAGTATGATTATCTGACTTAATACACAATGCATTGTTCTACAATAGAGTGATCTGTTGTTATGAACTGCGATCTGTATTAACATATTGTCGTCTGTCGTTACAATCGGACGAGACTGTTCAAGTGTGATCGTTCAAAATATTGCGTGACCTGTCGTTATATGAAACAGTATTTTTTTATCTCTCTTTCTCTGTCAATATAGGTGGTGATCTGTCGTCACAATCGGACGGACATACAACTGCTGTCCTCTGTTATAATACAGTGTGATATTTTTTCTCTTCAAGTGATCTGTCGCATCTTTGGGGTATAAATAGCGCTGCATTTCTTGTTATCATTTCATTCCGACGATTCGCTCAAGGACGATTACACCAACGCTGCCAAATCAATCTCTCCGAATTATTACAAGCACCTGTATCTATTCTCGACGATTTTCCTCAGGTTAGTTTCTTTTTCATATTTTTCCTTACATTATAACCAATATCCAAAAATTTTTTTTTTTAATTTCAGTATTATAAAATAAATATTAAATCGTTTCACTTCATACATTTACAATGGTTGAACAAATCCTGAAATTTAATACACCTTCTCAAGGACAAGATACTTTCCATGATGCTTCATGTAATAATGAATTATCACATCATCATAAAGTGCCAAGTGTTCTGGACGATCCTAATTGGAATGATATTACAGAAATGATTAATAAAATGGATTGTCAACCTGGTATGACAATGATTGATCGTATGATGGCACAATTTCATAAAACAACTATTTTAACAATGCGACGTGAAATGAAAAACGACAAATTAATTATGCGTGCATCCTACAAAGGTTATTCTTTTCATAAATATCCTGCAAAAGAATTTCAAGAAAAAGCTTCTAATTATATGAAAAAAGCAACTATTTACAAATTTCTCAACGAAATTAATCCAAGAAATCCAACTATGGCTCAAAATTGTTTAGAAAAAATTTCAAATGCAGTAGATACAACATTAAAAAAGTTACTTTCTTCAAAAGCAATTACTGATGTACAATTCCTACTTATGCATCCAGATCTATCGAACATAACATTAAATTATTTATATTTTGTTCCAGATACAACAGAAGTAAGTTTCATTTATTTTTTTAGCTTTCTTTTTCATATAAATTATATTGTTTTTTTTGTGATAGTCCGAACAACCACTCGAGCCAATTATCATCTGCAAAAATTCACCAACATTCAACGTTTCCAATTATATCAGTGATTTACTTTGGAATATGTTCAATCAAATAACAGGCTGTAAAAAGTTTACAGATTCTGATGAAATCGTTTATATTTTGGAACAATATGCCAAAGATGGTCTTCTTCGAGAAAATACATATTTTGTTACGTTTAATATTCATAATGTCTGTACAAAATTTTGTCATCAGGAAGCATGGAAAGCTTTAGAAAAATTTCTTCAAACATATCGACCTCAACTAGAAGAAATAGCTACAAATTTAACAAATGATACAATTATGGAATTAATTAGTGTTGTGTTACAAAATCAATATTTTATCTATGACAATAAACTCTATCAACAAATCAACGGAGGTCCTTCTGGCTCATTATTAACAATTCCATTAGCTTTTTTGTACTTATTGTATGGTCAATCTACTTTGCTTTTCGATACTTTATCAAATAATAAAATTGAAATATTTGGCAGGTAAATTTCATATGTAGAATTTTTACGAGTCAAATTTTTCTTATTGTTCTAGATATCGTGATGATATTTTTCTTACATGGAATGGTTCAAAAGAAGACTTTAAAACTTTAATGAATGGAACTATGCACTACCAGCAACGACAAAAACCAACTATTCCTTCAATTAACTGTAAGATTGGTAAAACAATACATTTACTTGATCTTGAGTTAAACAATAATAATGGTCATCTCATCACCAAAATATACCGTGATCCAAAGACGGATGAATACGAATTACCAAGTCAATATCAATATCATACTAATCAATCACCAGCTTTATTAAAGTTAGCACTTAAACATACTCTTCATTGTTGTACAAATCGAAAAGATTTTGATATTGACCAAGAACATATTCGTTTATCTCATTTACTACGTGGTTTCTCTTCCGAATTTATTGATCAATGTATGAAAGAATTTTGTCAAGATTTGGATATTAAAAGTCATTTCGTTCATACTTTCAATACTATGCCTTATGAAACACTTCGAAAACGAATTATGAATAATTATGAAAAAGCACACGTATTACAACAAGAAGGCAAAAAAGAAAAACAAAATATGATACGTGTTCCATATCCAGATCGTTGGCCAAAAGAAATGGCATTAAAAATTAAAGATGATCTTCTCAATATTCTCGATGATCACGTTACTAATGATAATACACTTCGCGATATTAAATTCGATTTTGTACCACGCCCACAAACACCTTTAACAATCAATGACTATTTAGTTGATAAACGACCACCTCTTACTCTATTAACTTTACCAAATAATGCACAGAATCAACAATGTACGTATTATTTATTAATTATTTCGTTATCTTTCAACAATGTCCACTATTTTTAGAGATTATCATTAAAGAATGTTCATGTTTAACAATATACATCAAATTCAAAAACATTGCTTCATTTTGTGTTACATTATTTTTTTGTTGTTTTGTTCATATGTTTTTATTAGATTTAGTGAACTTATATTATATATTTAGTTTCAGCATTTTGATATAGTCTATCAAAAATATTTTTTTTTCTCATTTTAGATAGAAATATTTATCAAAAATATGAATATAGCTAGTAGTAAAGAACCATTGAAAACTCCAAGTCAAGATGCTCAAGGTCGTTGGTATGACTTACTATCACCAACACAAGTATTAACAGGACAAGAACAAACAACAACTACAACGACAATATCAAACAAAAAGAAAAAACAATCACGTAATCGAAAATTACAACGTTATTCACGAAAACTTCGTAAACAAGGATTAGATGAAGCAACTATACTAATGTATAAGCGTGCTAATCAACTAGAACAACAACAAAAACAACAGGATCAAACAGAGGACGTAGAAATGGAAGAAATAATTCCTCTAAATGATACAGTGGTAAGATTAAATAAATCAGTTTCTAGACATGTTGATTGTGTTCTTCGAAATAAGTATTCTTTTTTTTCTTTTTTTTCATTTACTAGACTTTACCAGGTCCATATAATCCTCAACAAAAAATAACGAAACGTAAACGAGATGAATCAGCTAAACAAAATGATACATCCATTATCACATCATTAAGTCAATTATCAATGAAAGAAAATTGTAAGAAAAAGAAAAAACGATCATCTTCGTCTTCGAAAATACAAGAACAGCAGCAACAACAACAACAACAAGACAAAGAAAATGGAAAAGAAGTTGAAGAAAATATGATTCAATTCAACAATAATAAGCAAACAACATCATTACATTATTATTTAAATGCTACAAATAAAAAATTTAAACAAATGTTAAAAGCTGCCCTTGTTGGTAGTAAAGATATTCTACAATGGTGTAAATTAAAAGACAATCTTCATTATCTACGTGAACATACTCGTTTATTAGATAGAGTACATTATCTTAAATTAGAAGAAGATCTTTGGGAACATTTTACAATTTATGGTGAAACATATCACTGCTGGACATCATCATTATCAAAAACAATTATTAAAGATAATAAATTAGAATCCGATTTTAAAGTATCGAAGAAGTCTATGGAAAAATATCGAGAAAGAATTAAACAACAAAAACAAGAAGCTGAAGAACAAGTTGAAAAACATGCCTTATTATTGAAAAATTATCAACATCAAGATTCAAGCGTCGATGAACAACATCTATGGGCTGCTATCTTAGCATTAGTACGTAAAGGTCAACATAAATTATCTCAAAATTATGAACATCGAAAAAAGTATTTCAAAAATAGTGCTAAAGATTATTCTTTTGTTAAAGCATGTTATGATTGTCAACCAACACAAGATGAAGTTATGTCAATGCAAGTTATTTGGCAAGCAACTATTAATGAATGTAAATCACAACAGAATGTCGATATTTTAAAACAACATCTCTTTATAAAACGAATACCTAAATCATTAGATTATCTTGATCAATCATTTTCAAATGTGGAACATACATTAACTAGACCTGTTTATAATGATAATGTAAGAACAACAATTTCAACACGTCATAAAAAAATTATTGCACAAAATAAATGTGATTTAATGACACTTTATATTAGTATGGCTGAAACAGCTGTACGTGGCTATTATCAATATGCTGAAAATGAAAAAAAGAAATTAGTCAATCGTATGAAACAAGATCCACTTCGACAAGAATTTATCGATCAATTTATCCAAGCTATTGAACAACGCCAAAAACATATTCGACAATATATGGAATATTTAACAAAACGACGTATTCATTTTTTCTACTATCGCTCCGACGATCGTCGACAAAAATGGTATCGTCGGAGCTATCATCTTAATTTATATTGGGATATTCTTCCATCATCACCTATTATTGAAGTTTGTACAAAATTAACACCAGAACAATTGGCATTACTTTCTCGTGGCCCAAAATATGTACCACCATGTCAAAGTCGATTTTATAAAAAGGAAGTCAGGAACAAAATGATTAAAGAAGAATATCAAAATATTATAAGTAAAGTAACAGAATTTTTTCGTCAACATTCTCATGGTATATCAGAAAAACGTATCAATGAATTTTCTATTGACCTTAAAAATCTTCTTCAACATCTTTATACAAAAAAATTACCACGAAAATTATCTGTACGTGCTAAACGTGAACATAAATTAATTATTAATATTCGTCGTCATTTACACAAATATCGACAAATGATTTTACGACGAACTGATAAAAGTAAAGTATTTCATCTAGGTGATGCCAATGATTATCAACGAAAAGTTCTTGAATATATGCAAGAAACTGAAGCTTATGAAGAAATTACATCGGATATTTCACCATTAGCAGATAATTTACAACAAGTTATTTCCTTACTTAATCGTCTTTACTATACAGAAAAACCTTTGATTACTAAAAAGCAATATGAAGTTATGTATCCAAAAGAAAATGAAATTGAATTAGGTCATCTGTATTTTCTACCAAAACCACATAAAGTATGTTTTTTTTTTATCGAATAATAATACAACATTGATTTTTACTTGAATACTTTCCTTATAGATTGGTACACCATTACGACCTATTGTAGCTGCAATTCATGCACCAGCTATATTAGTATCAAAATATCTTGATAATTTACTTCGTCCTGTTTTCAATCGTGTTGCACGAAAAACAATCTATATCGATAGTATAGATCTTGTCAAACAATTAGAAAAATATGAAAAAGACGGTCATTTATTGTCAACGACAAAATTTATTACAAGTGATGTAAAAAATCTTTATACTATGATACCAAAAGGCGGTGCATTGGATGCATTATATCGATTTTGTACGAAACATGCAACTGAACATAAAATTGGCAACTTAACTGTAAATACCATTATCCGATTAGCATGTCTTGTCTTAGATACCAATTATTTCGTTTTTGATGATAAATATTATAAACAAATTCGTGGTGGTGCTATGGGCTCACCTTTTACAATGATATTAGCTAATATATATATGTATGAATGGGAGCAATCATTAATTCAATATCAACACGAAAGAAATGAAGTCTATGGCCGGTAATGTCTATTTTAAAGAAAAAAAACTTGTTTTTTATCATTTATTTCTGTTTAGATATATTGATGATATTTTTATGACTTCGAATGAACCTGTTGAAAATATTAAAGCATTACTTGATCGAGAAAATGAAAAAGATCCAAATATTCATATTAGTTATACCATTCATGAATCTGTGGAATTTCTTGATGTTCTTCTTGAAAATATTCAAGGAAAATTAAAAACATCTGTTTTTCGTAAACCAGCTGCTGAACCATACATACTTCCATATACATCTGATCATCCACGGCATATTCATTCCAATACAATTCATACAGCCTTACTTCGTGGTGTTCGTCTTTGTTCAGATGTTGAAACATTCGATCAAGAACGATTAAACATTGAAATAGCATTACTTCTAAATGGATATCCACCAAAATTCATCAGTCATCATTTTAAACAATTCTTTAAAACTTATAATGCTTCACCAATCTACCAAGATTTACATGCAGAAACATATCAACAACTTCATCTTCAATTACTTAACGACTCATTAACTACTGATCAAGTACCACAACAATTAGAACCACAACAACAAGGCAACAAAACCAACAACGGGCACATAAAAACTAAACCAAAAAAACAAACAGAACTCATTATACATTATCGATATGAAATCGGACCATTACAAAAATTCAGTCGTGAATTCCGAAAACTTTGGGAAAAACATTTTTGTTATGAAAATTCATCGTTAAACAATATTCGACTGATACTTGGTACTCGAACCAACAAGACATTGGAACATTTACTAGTTAATAAAAAACCACGTCGCACTCTACTAAAGAATACAGAGAACAACATTAGCACAACAACGATGGAAACATGAAGACATGACTATATTTCTCACCTTGTAATATTTTTCATTGTACATATTTCCAGTAACTGAATAAAACATTTTCATCACTTCTAGATACTCCCTACCGCACTATATCCTATCTTATAACTAATATTGTAACATCTTCTTTTCTTCTACCGTTCTAGATAACTCGAATTAATCCAACATCTCGACTCACCAATCCATAATAATTAAAACATACAGTAAATCATCTGATAACCAATTTCGACCTTCACGACGATGAAATGCACACAAGCCAGACAACAATAAAAACAATTTCTAAGAAGGTAAACCATTTAAAAAAAACATATAATCCAATTGCATATTACCAAATACGATCCAACATGTGTCCCTTTTTACTTTAGACAACTAAACCTCCCACACCACAACGACGACTCCAGGTCATTAAAAACAAAATACAATCAACCACATAATAAAACTGTGAATATCCAACAAACCGAAACAAACACCACATATTGGTAAGATGCCATAAATACTAGCAGCTATTCACAGGTTACGACTGAGTACATCATAAACACCATTACCTACCGACCAGCGAAAAAAACGAAGTCACACAGCAAAGGATTTCGAAAAAATCCAGTACCGCTTTTCCTTAAACATCGAACATAAAATATATTCCAACTGACAACAAACCCGTATATAGAGATATAATATTGAGGTAATCCACCTGATGAAGTCCCGCCATGGACAGAAACAACAGTTGTCGTGGGTTGGCGATTATTCTAAATCACACCCCATTGTGTTTAGAAATCATTGATTTTTGTCAAAAATTTTCAACATAAGTAGATATTGACTTATATATTTGACTATGAATATATTTAAGTTAAATTCTACTTGAAAATTTTACATGTGCAATTGTTCTTATATAAAAACTTTAATTATTATATCGAAAAAAGTAATTCAAATGCTATATACATATAATTATGAATTACTATCTAAGTAGATATGATATTGAGGTAATCCACCTGATGAAGTCCCGCCATGGACAGAAACAACTGTTGTCGTGGGTTGGCGATTATTCTAAATCACACCCACACCCACACACCCACACCCAAATTCGTATGAGTTTGTGTACGTCTGTTTCTTTGTTTTTTGTATTTCATTTTGTTGCAGTCGTTTTTAACATCGGTCGCTGTATACATTGGAGAGCATTTTTGTCGATTTTTTTTAAATGTAAAATTATCGTAGAAAAATTACGAGTGTTGTTTCTATAGAATCTACTCTTCATCTTAGTAAAAACATAGAATCTAGTAAGTGAATAAAAGTTTGTGCTATTGTTGATGATTTGTTCGTTGTGTAGAAGATAAAACAATGGCCATGATCTCGACGTCAACTATAACAACTACACTATTAATCGATTTTACATTATTACCAGAACCTATAAGATATTCTGTTTTCGTTTCATTTATTGATCCTCGTCTTCGTTTTTATTCACCACGCTTCAATCGTTCAAAATGATCTAGTCCTATATACTTACCATTGCCCAAATGGTACTCAACACTCGTATATTCATCAATTAAAAATAACCGTTCAAAATGTTTAAATATCAATTATCTAACAGTAAAATCTATCAAACTTAACAATGAAATCATATCAGTATTATGTTCGAATTGAGTATGTTACAAATATGCTTCTTTTTAAATTTATTTTTGATTTATGTTTAGGAAAATTCCCTCTGACCATAAACAAAGTCATTCCATTAATTATTGTCTTTCTAAAGATATTGATTGAAAAGGACAATAGAAATAAACTCATATATAATCATTATAAACTAATTATAGAATTATAATGTGTTTTGAATTTATTAATGATTTGTTTTATAATGTAAATCATCATTTCTCGTAGCTGTTGTTATTCTCAGTAAAGCTTAGTCTGAAATATTTTTAAACTAAACAGAAAAGAATTCAATAATAAGAAAACATTAGTAAAGAAATTCCTAAATGTTTATAGAAAAATGATATTGCTTACTTTCCAGTCTCTTTTGCTGTTGATTTTAGATTGCGACAAATAATCATAGTTTATATCTTATTTTTGATCTCCATATACAAAACAGGATTAATTCTATTTGATTATCAATGGATCTCGAAGAAGATAAACGATTTTATACTTCAAATCTCAATACACATAGTAGTATCTATGACTCGATTTTATCATCACCAGTAACAATGCAACAACAATCAATCGTGAAAAAACAGAAAAAATGTCACGGTAACTTGAAAGAACAACGTATACGACGACGAAAGCTTAAACAGACATCAAATAATCAAAGAGTGGAAGATTCGAATCATGAAAATTGTAATGTGTTAAATTTACAGTTAAACTCTTCTAATATCGAAGCCAATACAGCAAATGATAATAGAAGTTGGTTTATTACTACAGCAGAGGTATTTAAGTCATTTTGGCACAGAATGTTCTATCTTTTTTCAATAACTTTTTACATTCAAAGGTTTCAACTACATATGACGGAAATATTACTAAAAAACGAAAAAAACTTCCAATACAACAAGGAACAATTACGACAGCAACCAGAACACTCTCTGAAATATCTATTTCAGAACCATCAAAAAAAAAACAGAAGAAAGACAAACGAAAATTACGGACAACTAATAAGCAGAATGATCATTTTTTTGGCAAGATTTACAAGTTTGTCAATAATTCAACATATAGGACGGAGATTGTAATTTTAAAATTTTTGCTTTGTTTAGAAAATCGAAATATCTAAAAGTTAAATCATTTGTTCTTGTTCGAACATTACGATTACATCTTAAACATCTATTACAGACATCAAATGAACGAAAATTTGTTCTTACTCGATTAAAATTGCTCGATGAACAATATTGTGTTACACTTTGGCAGGATCTATGGCAATTTTATTTTGATTTTGGAATAAAACATTCAATCTGGCCGGTAAGCTTGTCTTTTAAAATAAAACAAATCTGAAGGCATTCAATTAAAAAATATTCCTATCTATTTATTTTCTCAGTGTATATATCTGTCTATACATACTTTTAGGAATCGGTAACATTAAAAGTTAAAATAAGAAATGGTGACCAAATAAAAAGTTTAATCATGAATTATTTACATGAAATCGAAAACAATCTTCAGCAATGCCATGAGAAATTGACTAGTCAAATGTTTCGTCGTCCATCAACATTATCATTTGAAACAATAGATAGTTCTCTAAAAGAATTTGTCTATCTTCATCAAAAACGATTTACGAAAAAAATTAATTGTCAAAAAGTTAAGTTAACAGCGAAGTTACATGATAATCAACTATGGCAACAACTTTCATCATATCAAATGACTATTGAACAAGTATTAAAATAAACTAATAAGGAACACAAAGGCGATAAGAATGTTTCATGTTTTGCAAGCTTATTGTCCTTCAACTATATCAAACTAAATAATAAATTTAATTTATGTTTTAGCTTGAAGGAATCGAACGACTTATTTCTATCCAACACGAACAAATGCAAATATATGAAGAGTTACTTATGTTAGAACAACGAATTCTATGTAGATTCTTATCTAAATCATTCGATGATATTTCTACTCATCAAATCAATTCAATCGAAAATAATAATAACTCAGATTTAATAATGAAAGAAAGAAAATTACAACAAATTAAACGAAATATGCTTAATGATTGTATTCATAGCTATGAACAAAAGATTCTTCTTATCGAACAACAATATCAACAAGAACTAACTACATTTGAGAACATCAGCTCGATCAACAATACTCAAGATTACAAAATGTCTTTAATGATTTCACTCAAAGCTTTTTTAGAAAATCGGATTTTTGAGATGAAACATTCGTGTCGTTTTAAGATGACTTTATTTCGTAGCAAACTTTTTCGTCGTCGTAGTCGTTTATTATCTACTAAAAATAAAATTACTGACGTATATCCACAAACTATTATCGATGTATCTAATCTTCCGTTCAATGATGAAGAATTATCATATATTTCAAGAACAGGTTCATTTTATAAAAATGCTAAGATGTTTGATACCCATCTAATACAGTTATTTTCTTATATTTGATAGGTCCAAGTTATATTCGACCGAATCAAAGTGCTCTACGTCCTTATCCACAACGACTTCTTCGAGTACAACAAGATCATGATTATCTAATGAAACAAATAGTGCATTATCTTAGCGGCTATTGTTATATACCATCCAATGCAAATGTAATTAAGCAATTATCTAACCAATTGAAAGATCGTTTAACTTTTCGACACATGTCAGCCATACCTATTTTTGATGATATACGTGCACATCGTGAGCTTCATCTCGTCCAAACTATTCGACGAAAGCTTAAAAAAGCAAAGCTTGTTCTTCGTCCAACAGATAAAAGTGGTGTTTTTCATATTGGTTCACTTAGTGATTATGAGCGCAAGATCGCAGAATATCAAACAAAGACAAGAGCATATATCGAATTATCGGAAAATCCATTATCAGACATTTTAAATAAAGTAACTCATTTACTTAATGAATTACTTTCTAAAAAGCAAATTACCGTCAAAAAACATTATGGTAAAATGATGCCTGATCGAAACAAAGTGGAATTATCACATATGTATTATCTTCCAAAAGTGCACAAAGTAATATTGATAATTGAATTATTCCGTTCTATAATCGTTTTAATGTTCTCTTTGCTATATTTTTTCTTTTTTTTTAATAACAGCCAGCTACACCACTTCGTCCAATAATGAACACAATGAAAGCACCAACCACTGGTATTTCACGATTCTTAGATCAATTGATTCGCCCATTGTTTTACAAACATGTTCGATCAACTACCATTTTTGACGGTAGTGATCTTATTCATCGGCTCATTGATTATGTAGCTAGAGGACGTCTCAAATCTTCAACATTGTTCTGTACATTCGATATTATTGATCTCTACACAATGTTGCCACAAGAAGAATCATTAAATGTTCTGTGTGAATTCCTTATCGAACATGGTTATAAGAAGATTGATGGTATTCCAATAGATGCCATACGAAGACTAGCTCGTTTAGTATTAACAGAAAATGTATTCGTTGATGGTTCAAAAATTTACCGACAAATCTTAGGTGGAGCAATGGGATCACCTTTTACACTCACTTTAGCAAATATATTCATGTGGAAATGGGAAAAAAACCTTCTATCGCAACTATCTGATGCTATAGAAATATACGGCCGGTAGGTTCTACCTTTCAAAATTACATATTTGATAAATTTTTTTATGTTTTATTTCAAAAAGGTACATTGATGATGTCTTCTTTACAACAAATAAAACCAAACAGGAAATAGAACAATTATTACAACATGCAAACAATTATCATCCAAATATAAAACTAAACAGTAGCATCGGATTTAATGCGACATTTCTGGATGTTTACATAGAAAACAAACAAGGAATGCTCATAACATCTGTACATCACAAAGAATCAGCCGAACCTTATATTACACCATTCAAATCAGATCATCCGAGACATACATTTGCAAATATTATACAAGGACAAATAACACGAGCAGCACGATACTGTTCCAGTTTTGAAGAATTTGATAAAGAGCGTAGAAATATTCGTTTAACATTACTTTACAACGGGTAATCGTACTTCCTTAAAATTCTTTCCTTTTCATCCAGAAATTCATTTATTTATTAGGTATCCTACAAACTTCATCGATAAACATTACAGAAAATTTTTTTCTAAAAACCAACAATTAACATCTAACTTATTAGCAATCACTCCAAAAAATGAAAAATATCAATTCATGCGAGCCAGCACTCTTGAAATACTGACCACGACGCAAACGCAAGGACTATCCGCCACTGTCGATACGACAAAACATCCCAACGGCAATAAAAACTACAACGTCACCGGAAACCAACAAGAAACATCAACAATAAGTACAACATTCCATCAACAAAATAGGACACTAATTCTACATTATACACATGAACGACGCCTGCAAACATATCAAAAAGATGTCCACAAAATTTGGGAAAACATTTTCAGAGACACACATANAATAAACAAACAACATAATTACATTATTATTTAAATGCTACAGATAAAAAATTTAAACAAATGTTAAAGGCTGCCTTTGTTGGTGGTAAAGATATTCTACAATGGTATAAATCAAAAGACAATCTTCATTATCTACGTGAACATACTCGTTTAGTAGATAGAGTACATTATCTGAAATTAGAAGAAGATCTTTGGAAAAATTATACAATTTATGAAGAAATATATCACTGTTGGACATCACCATTATCAAAAACAATCATTAAAGATAATAAATTAGAAGAAGATTATAAAATATCGAACAAGTCTATGATAAAATATCGAGAAAGAATCAAACATCAACAACAAGAAGCTGAAGGACAAGTTGAAAAACATGCCTTATTATTGAAAGATTATCAACATCAAGATTCAAGCGTCGATGAACAACATTCATGGGCAGCTATCTTAGCATTAGTACGTAACGGTCTACATAAATTATCTCAAAATCATGAACATCGAAAAAAATATTTCAAAAATAGTGCCAAAGATTATTCTTTTGTTAAAGCATGTTATGATTGTCAACCAACACAAGATGAAGTTATGTCAATGCAAGTTATTTGACAGGCAACTATTCATGAATGCAAATCACAACAAAATGTCGATATTTTAAAACAACATCTCTTTATAAAACGAATACCTAAATCATTAGATTATCTTGATCAATCATTTTCAAATGTGAAACATAAATTAGCTAGACCTATTTATAACGATAATATGAGAACAACAATTTCAACACGTCATAAAAAAATTATTGCACAAAATAAATGCAATTTAAGGACACTTTATATTAGTATGGCTGAAGCAGCTGTACATGGTTATCATCAATATGATGAAAATGAAAAAAAGAAGTTAGTCAATCGTATGAAACAAGATCCACTTCGACAAGGATTCGTCGAACAATTTATCCAAGCTATTGAGCAACGCCAAAAACATATTCGACAATATATGGAATATTTAACAAAACGACGAATTCATTTTTTCTACCATCGCTCCGACGATCGTCGACAAAAATGGTATCGTCGGAGCTATCATCTTAATTTATATTGGGATATTCTTCCATCATCACCTATTATTGAAGTTTGTGTAAAATTAACACCGGAACAATTGGCATTACTTTCACGTGACCCAAAATATGTACCACCATGTCAAAGTCGATTTTATAAGAAGAAAACTAGGAACAAAATGATTCAAGACGAATATCAAAATATTATTAGTAAAGTAACAGAATTTATTCGTCAACATTCTTATTGTATATCAGAAAAACGTATCAACGAATGTTCTATTGATCTTAAAAATCTTCTTCAACGTTTTTATACAAAAAAATTATCACGAAAATTATCGGTATGTGCTAAACGTGAACATAAATTAATTATTAGAATTCGTCGTTATTTACACAAATATCTACAAGTGATTTTACGACGAACTGATAAAAGTGAAGTAGTTCATCTAGGTGATGCCAATGATTATCAAAGAAAAGTTCTTGAATATATGCAAGAAACGGAAGCTTATGAAGAAATTACATCGGGTATTTCACCATTAGCAGCCAATTTACAACAAGTTATTTCCTTACTTAATCGTCTTTACTATACAGAAAAATCTTTGATTACTAAAAAGCAATATGAAACCATGTATCCAAAAGAAAATGAAATTGAATTAGGTTACCTCTATTTTCTGCAAAAAACCACATAAAGTATGTATTTTTTATCGAATAATAAAACAACATTGATTTTTACTTGAATACTTTGCTTATAGATTGGTACACCATTACGACCAATTGTAACGGCAATTCATGCACCAGCTATACTAGTGTGAAAATATCTTGATAATTTACTCCGTTCTATTTTCAATCATGTTGCACGAAAAACAATCTATATCAATAGTGTAGATCTTGTGAAACAATTAGAAAAATATCAAAAAGAAGGCCGTTTATTGTCAACGACAAAATTTGTTACAGTTGATGTAGAAAATCTTTATACTATGATACCAAAAGGTGGTGCGTTGGATGCAGAATACCGATTTTGTGCGAAGCATGCAACTGAACATAAAATTAGCAATTTTACTGTAAATACCATTATTCGATTTGCATGTCTTGCCTTAGATACCAATTGTTTTGTTTTTGATAATAAATATTATAAACAAATTCGTGGTGGTGCTATGGACTCACCTTTTACAATGACATTAGCTAATATATATATATGCATGAATGGGAACAATCATTGATTCAACAACAACAAGCAAGAAATAAACTATATGGTCGGTAACTTCTATTCTAAAAATAAAACATTTGTTTCTTATCACTAATTTCTTTTTAGATATATTGATGATATTTTTATGACTTCGAATGAACCTGTTGAAATCATTAAAGCATTACTTGATCAGGAAAATGAAAAAGATCCAAATATTCGTATTAGTTATACCATTCATGAGTCTGTGGAATTTCTTGATGTTCTTCTTGAAAATCTTCAAGGACAATTGAAAACATCTGTTTTTCGTAACCCAGCTGCTGAACCATATATACTTCCATATACATCTGATCATCCACGGCATATTCATTCGAATACAATCCATACTGCCTTACTTCGTGATGTTCGTCTTTGTTCACACGTTGAAACATTCTATCAAGAACGATTAAATATTGAAATAGCCTTACTTATAAATGGATATCCGCCAAAATTTATCAGTCATCATTTAAAAAAATAAAAAAAAAATACAATGCTTCGTCTATCTATCAAGATTTACATGCAGAAACGTATAACCAAGTCCATCTTCAATTACTTAATCACTCCTTAACTGATGATTAAGTACCACAGCAATCAGAACAACAACAACTAGGTGAAGAAGGCAAGAATGAACACATAAAAAGTAAACCAAAAAAACAAATAGAACTCATTGTACACTATCGGTATGAAAGCGGACCATTAAAAACATTCAGTCGTGAATTCCGCAAAATTTGGAAAAAACATTTTTGCTATGANCATAAATGGGATCGCCGGAGCTATCATCTTAATTTATATTGGGATATTCTTCCATCATCACCTATTATTGAAGTTTCTATCAAATTAACACCGGAACAATTGGCTTTACTTTCTCGTGGCCCAAAATATGTACCACCATGTCAAAGTCGATTTTATAAGAAGGAAGCAAAGGACAAAATTATTCAAGAAGAATATAAAAATATTATTACTAAAGTAACGGAATTTATTCGACAACATACTTATTGTGTATCAGAAAAACGTATCAACGAATTTTCTACTGATCTTAAAAATCTTATTCAACGTCTTTATACAAAAAAATTATCACGAAAATTATCAGTACGTGCTAAACGTGAACATAAATTAATTACTAGTATTCGTCGTTATTTACATAAATATCGACAAGTTATTTTACGGCGTACGGATAAAAGTAAAGTATTTCATCTAGGTGATGCCAATGATTATCAACGAAAAGTTCTTGAATATATGCAAGAAACAGAAGCCTATGAAGAAATTACATCTGGCATTTCACCATTAGCAGCCAATTTACAACAAGTTATTTCATTACTTAATCTTCTTTACCATGCAGAAAAACCTTTGATTTCTAAAAAGCAATATGAAGCAATGTATCCAAAAGAAAATACAATTGAATTAGGTCACCTCTATTTTCTACCAAAACCACATAAAGTATGTTTTCTTTTTGTCAAAAAATAAAACAATATTGATTTTTACTTGAATATTTTGTTTATAGATTGGTACACCACTACGACCAATTGTAGCAGCAATTCATGCACCAGCTATATTAGTGTCAAAATATCTTGATAATTTACTTCGTCCTATTTTCAATCGTATTGCACGAAAAACAATCTATATCGATAGTATAGATCTTGTGAAACACTTAGAAAAATATCAAAAAGAAGGTCATTTATTGTCAACAACAAAATTTATTACAGTTGATGTAAAAAATCTTTACACTATGATACCAAGAGGTGGTGCATTGGATGCCTTACATCGGTTTTGTACGAAACATGCAACTGAAAAAAAAATTGGCAATTTAACTGTAAATACCATTATTCGATTAGCATGTCTTGTCTTAGATACCAATTGTTTCGTTTTTGACAATAAATATTATAAACAAATTCGTGGTGGTGCCATGGGTTCACCTTTTACAATGACATTAGCTAATATATATATGTATGAATGGGAACAATCCTTGATTCAACATCAACAGGAAAGAAATGAACTCTACGGCCGGTAATTTCTATTTTAAAGAAAAAAAAATTGTTTTTTATCATTTAATTCTTTTTAGATATATTGATGATATTTTTATGACTTCAAATGAACCTGTTGAAACCATTACAGCATTACTTGATAGGGAAAATGAAAAAGATCCAAATATTCGTATTAGTTATAATATTCATGACTCTGTGGAATTTCTTGATGTTTTTATTGAAAATATTCAAGGACAATTAAAAACATCTGTTTTTCGTAAACCAGCTGCTGAACCATATATACTTCCATATACATCTGATCATCCACTGCATATTCATTCCAATACAATTCAAACAGCCTTACTTCGTGGTGTTCGTCTTTGTTCAGACATTGAAACATTCGATCAAGAACGATTAAACATTGAAATAGCATTACTTCTAAATGGATATCCACCAAAATTTATCAGTCATCATTTTAAACAATTCTTTAAAAATTATAATGCTTCGTCTATCTATCAAGATTTACATGCAGAAATGTATCAACAACTCCATCTTCAATTACTTAATGAATCCATAACTACCGATCAAGTACCACAGCAATTAGAACAACAACAGCTGGGCCAAGAAATTAACAACGGATGCATAAAAACTAAACCAAAAAAACAAATAGAACTTATTATACATTATCGATATGAAAGTGGACCATTAAAAAAATTCAGTCGTGAATTCCGAAAACTTTGGGAAAAACATTTTTGCTACGAAAATTCATCGTTAAACAATATTCGATTGATACTTGGTACTCGATCAAACAAGACATTGGAAACTTTACTAGTTAATAAAAAACCAGGCCGTACTCTATTACGAAATATAGACCCCAACATTAGCACAACAACAATGGAAACATGAAGACATGACTGTATTCCTCACTTTGTAATATTTTTCATTGTACATATTTCCAGTAGCTGAATAAAACATTTTCATCACTTCTAGATTTTGTCTACCCAACTATATCCTATCTTTATTAATGTTGTAACATTTTGTTTTTTTCTAGTGTTTTAGATAACTAGAATCAATCCAACATCCAGACACAACATTTTCAAAAAACTAAAACATATAGTCAATCACCTGATCAACAACGTCGACCTTCACGAACATGAAATTCATACAAACAACAAAACTTCAAAAAACGATTACAAAGAAGGCAAACCATAGTGAAATAAACATAAGTTTCAATTAACGATTACCAAATGCCATCCAACACGTTTCCTTTTCTACTTCAGATAAATACAAATTTCAACAACACAACGATGACTCATTCTCATTAAAAATCAAATACAAGAAAATCACATAAAAAAAATCCTGCTCAACTAATAAAAACAAAATCAACAGCATATCTTGGAAATATGCAATAACCATTACAAATTTTTAAACAATTCTGACTGAGAACATCAAAAACACCAATCCATACTCACCAGCAGGAAAAACGACTCACAGGACAAGATCTCAAAACAACGTCAGTTGAAATATTTCTTCCCTGCCAAATGCAAAATCACTTCCAATTCAACACAAACCCTAAGATAGAGACATAATATTAAGAATTCCATCTGATAATGTCCCGCCACAGGCAGAAACAACCGTTGTCGTGCACAGGCGATTATTCTATATCACAGACCCTTATTATTATTTGAGCGAGTTATAACTTTTATGTAATTATGAGATTCCAAACATGCCTGATGAAGATCAGAATAAGCCCTGATCGAAACGCGTCGTGTGATGCTTTGAATTTCAACTATATATTTATTATTACTTTGGATTAATTCTATTGTTTGAAGTACTGCATAGATAAATATAATTCGTTTGTGATTCTTCGGAATCATTCAAAATAATTATAGCACAGTCAAAGCCAAGTGATGATTCACTCATAGGGGTGATGACATCCGGATCTTGGCATTCCGAGAGATAATATATCAGAATCATTCATAATATATCTCGTACAGGTCAGAAAACGCAAAGTTTAAGCAGAAATACCAAAAAATTCAAATCAACGATAGCGTCTTGAAAAATACGAAATATATGAAAGAAAATTCTCCTGATTGATAATCTATGAGAATCATTCATAATATATCTCATACGGGTCAAGAAACCCAAAGGTTTACTAGAAATACCAAAAAATCCAAATTAACGATATCGTCTTGAAAAATATGAAATATATTAAAGAAAATTCTCCTGATTGATAATATGTCTGAATCAGTCATAATATATCTCGTACAGGTCAGAAAACCCAAAGGTTAAGCAGAAATACCAAAAAATTCAAATTAACGATATCGTCTTAAAAAATATGAAATGTATGAAAGAAAATTCTGCTGATTGATAATATATCAGAATCATTCATAATATATCTCATACAGCTCAAGAAACCCAAAGGCTTAGCAGAAATACCCAACAAATTCAAATCAACGCTATCGTCTTCAAAAATATGAAATATATGAAAGAAAATTCTGCTGATTGATAATATATGAGAAACATTCATAATATATCTCATACAGGCCTGAAAGCCCACATGTAAAGCACAAATACACAAAAAAATAAAATCAAAGATATCGTCTTCAAAAATAGGAAATATATGAAAGAATATTCTGCTGATTGATAATATATGAGAATCATTCATAATATATCTCGTACAGGTCACAAAACCCAAAGGTTAAGCAGAAAACCCCAAAATATTCAAACAAACGACATCGTCTTGAAAAACGTTAAACTTAGTAAAGAAAATTCTCCTGATTGATAATATATGAGAATCATTCATAATATATCTCATACAGGTCAGAAAACCCAAAGGTTAAGCAGAAATACCAAAAAATTCAAATTAACGATATCGTCTTAAAAAATATGAAATGTATGAAAGAAAATTCTGCTGATTGATAATATATGAGAATCATTCATAATATATCTCATACAGGTCAAAAAACCCAAAGGTTAAGCAGAAATACCAAAAAATTCAAATTAACGATATCGTCTTGAAAAACGTTAAACTTAGTAAAGAAAATTCTGCTGATTGATAATATATGAGAATCATTCATAATATATCTCATACAGGTCAAAAAACCCAAAGGTTAAGCAGAAATACCAAAAAATTCAAATTAACGATATCGTCTTAAAAAATATGAAATGTATGAAAGAAAATTCTGCTGATTGATAATATATGAGAATCCTTCATAATATATCTCATACAGGTCAAGAAACCCAGAGGTTTAGCAGAAATACCAAAAAATTCAAACAAACGATATCGTCTTGAAAAATATGAAATATTTTAAGGAAAATGGTCCTGATTGATAATATATCAGAATCATTCATAATATATCTTGTACAGGTGAAAAAACCCAAAGGTGAAATAAAAATACACAATATATTCAAATACATCACACAGACTAGAAAAATACCGGAAAAATACGGAAAAATTCTAATATAGACGAATATATGTTGTACAGGTCAAAAAAAACCAACGCTCGAACAAAAATACCCAGTTTGCTCAAATAGATGATGCAGACTAGGGAAATATCGAAAAAAATCGGGATAATTGTAATATGCCCGAATATATGTTCTAC